TGCCTGCCTGCCTGCCTGCCTGCTAGATAGATTGATAAAACCTTTATTGGCATAAGTGAAAATTGAACATAGTCACGGTAGTTTGTTAGGTAACTACATAAATAGGCATCAAGAGGGCAGGAAAGTGTTAAACATCCTTAAAGAGAAAATAGTTCATCTCTTAACAATAGTACTTTACCAAGGAAGTCTGTGACTCTTTCTGCAATGTCAGTCATCTTATCCATCAGCATATACATAGCGAACTTTATCCTGATCTGACCTCCCTTCCAGGTTTAATAAAACTGGGGCTCTTCACCTTGATCGGCCGATTGAGTGAAGCAGGCAGTACAAAAACATGTGAACAAGGGTTTCCTGTGTACATGGGCAGTGCCTTTCAGAATAGGGAACTGCATCAAATCTGCCATATAATATAGCAGGAGGCATGACATTGCATCTGGCCAAAGAAAAGGCCCTATGTTTTGGGGGGGCCTTCGAGCAAGGAAAGGTATGCCTGCCTACTACTGAATCAGGTGTGGGTTTTTTCTAAATATCTGTCAGGGCATAACACTCAAGAGATGATGAACAATCTTCTTCAAGCAAGGAAAGGTATGCCTGCCTGCTACTGAATCAGGTGTGGTTTTTTTCTAAATATCTGTCAGGCCATAACACTCAAGAGATGATGAACAATCTTTCATTTGAGGGACCTGGTGAGCTATATAGGCCATAGCTAGTTGGTACAAGTTCTCTTAGTCAAATATCAATTAATAATGGAGAAGTATTTTTAAAATATTTGCTTGATTTACACTAACTACAAAAATATAGTTGGAGCACAATTACTCTTAACTTTGAATGCATTGTAATGAATGCCTTTGACATTTAACAGTGTTATGTAAATTTACTATAAATGTGGACAATTTATGGAACAGCTCTCTTCAGCTGTATTTCTAGAGACAATAATTAATGTAAGCCTACAGTTACATTAAGAAAATGGAAGAGGATGGCATGAGTGGTCTGAAGACAATGGCCTTTGCTGCTGAAGACTGTCGTTGGAAAGGTCTAGAACTGTAGCGTGTGGCCAAGAGGAAAAGTTCTGCCACGCCACCAAGCTTGCCATGACTGTGCAAGGCCATCCATCGGTCAAGCAGCTCTACTGCTCTTGCAAGCAACTGATGCCATAAGGATTTTAAAAATAGTTGTTATGGGCACATCCTCAGATTCCAGGAATATATGACCATTGCCAAATGACAGCTAGCCAATAGACCTCCCCCCCCCAAAAAAAACCAAGACCATTATACAATTATACACATTTGCTTACAAAGGAGATGAAGGAAGATATGGCTCAGGCTGAGGCATTTCCCAATATTTTGATGTTTTTTAAAAGAAAGGACACTTTCTCTTTGTCTTCACCCACCCATTGTCAACCATAAGGAAGATCCTAGTGCCAATCATCTCTTTGAAGAACTTGGTGATGGCACCAGGGGTGTGGGGAGCAATTCATCTGTTTGGGTGATGGAAAGATGCCAGCTCATCTGTTCTACATGTGGTTAAGTCTGCAGTTGCCAAGCCTGGTCTTTTGTGCCTTTTGTACTGCTAGACTTGGGCCAGTACTAACGATTCAGGTAAATACCACAAATTTTCTATGCCGCCTTCTTTTTGGCTCTTTCAAATCCTCCAAAATCTCTCTTTTTTTTCTCCCCTCAGTTTAATGTGCTAGCTTCTCCCCTTCAGTTGGGCCTGCTAAAGGCTCCCTCCTCAATCAAAAACCACGTTTGCAAATCCATTTAGAGGGTAGCCCTAATAGTAGTGTAATGGGAATTTTAAATTGATGCTCAGTTTCCTGTTGTGATTTAACGTATGTCTTTGCTGAAACTGCCAAGTGACTAAGTTAGCTGTTTCTTGCACACCAGTATGGAGGGCCAGGTGAATGAGAATAGTACTGGGTACAAATTATAGCTGAGTGCAGAACATGGCTGTGTGCAAAAGCCTTTCCTGGCAAGGAAACCACACCCCTGACTGTTGATTGGTGGATTCCATCTGAGGGAAAGTTATAAAGGCTCTGTGGCTACAGTTTGAGCTGTATGACCTTGTAAGCGGTGATACCTATGTACATAAATAAATTGTGTTTGTTCACACACTGTGGGATCGTTTTCTGTGCCCGCAGCTACCCTCACTAAAGAAGCAACTTGAGTTTTTTTAACCTTTGAGGTGTCCCTCCCCTCCCCCCCCCATTTCAGTTGGTGAGCTAGCCGGAAGAATCTTTGCATTCACAGGTAGTCAGTTAGGGACCATCTGAAGCCCACATCACTGACATAAGTGAGTTCATCTTCTGTGTGACCATCGTGTGATCCATGACTGTAGCTGCTGTGATAAGAGTGTCTTCTCAGAGGCAGGGAGTGACATCTGTTATCTGGTGTCTGCCTTTGTTTTATGTCTACACCACTGTGCCACTTTGGCCAGGAGGAGTGTGGACCAAGGTGGGACATCCATCCATGCAGTAAAGGCTGTGAAGAGCACTGGCCCAGGGAACTTGGAAGACAGGTAGAATTGATGGGGAACAGCATCAGTAAAAGACACCCCTCTCGAAGGCAAGGAGGCGAGTGAGCTTTCCAATAACCTATACTGAGACTGTGATGTGAACCCGTCTGATCGCAGTGCATAGGTACATCTGGACTCACTTCACAGACATACATTTTTGCGGTTGAGTGGTAGGTGTAGGGATAAGAACAAAGGAAATATTGTATTATTACTTGGCGAGGACCAAGTGAGGCAGTCAGATCAATCAGTCAGAAATACTCAGAAATATTGAGTCAAGAAATTTTTTTCATTACATTTGTCAGTTAGGAATACTTAGGAACACAGTACTAGGGAAACCAGGCCTGCCAGAAGTTTTGTCAGGTAAGCCAGTGAAATGCGAACAGGCCCACGCATCCAAAAAGTCACTCAACTGGACATTGTCCTTCATGTGTGGAGAAAATTGCCAACTGTTGGATTGAATAAACAAGAATTAATTAGATTGAGCACATTAGGATGGCCCCAATTTACTCAAGGATGGAACCTGCCATGGCCAAAATATGGAAGCTTGAATCATCAGTTAGTAAATCAATTGGCACGAGAAAGAGGTAAAATAATCTAGGGACAAGAAAAATATGTTTTATCTTGGTTTATTGATGAGACAGATCTTCAGGCACCATTACAGAGAGGAAGGTCACCATCTCCCTTATACGACAGTGTAACTGATCTATTTCGGCTGATTTTTCCACTCCCATCTATATCTTCTGGGCTTAATAAACCTTCTGGCCCTTACCTCATCAACAACAACCTTTTTTTGTATTATTATTTTAAAGAATATAAAATACACACACACACACACAGACACACACTCACGCACTCCCAAGCCAACTACACCAGAGCACAGACTGCTGTCCTCTGAAGATGCCAGCCACAGAGACTAGCAAAGCGTTAGGAAGAACAACCTTCAGAACATGGCCAAAGAGCCCGAAAAACCCACAACAACCATTAGATCCCGGCCATGAAAGCCTTCGCAAATACAAGCAGCATTTATTTCACTTATGATGCCCCATCCCCTTTCAACACTGCACTGATTTTTTTTGATGATACATGACCCTTCCCTTTAATTAATACATAGTCAATAAAAACTCCCCAAATATCTCTAAAGTTATTTTTGTTTGTCACATTCTTTTAAAACTTAATATCACGTTAGTTTATCATTAATAACAATATTCTGTATTTCTTCATATCATTCATTTAATTGAAATGTATATTTTAATTTTCAGTTTTTAGCTATAATGGATCTTACTGCATTGTTCCTTATCAAATACTGATAACAGTGCTATTCTCGGGATACACTCTACATTTAACTCCAATATTTCATTAATATTTTCAAAAACAGTTCCCAAAATTTCATTACATTTTTACATTCCCACCACATATGAAATAAGTACCTACATATGTATTGCATCTCCAACATAAATTTGAAAATTTACCATCCATACAATTCAATTTTACCCATGTTAAATACCATTACCAAATTAGTTTATAATGATTTTCTTTTCTTCTTGCTAACATACATCTAATATTCTTTTATTGCAAATATTTTTCCAATACTTTAGTACTTTATTTTCCTTCCCAGATCCATTTCCCATGATGCCTTAAGTGTGCCATGTTTATTTTCTGCTTCTATTAGCATTTTTATAAATTTTATTTATCAACATTTAGATTTTTTATTGTGATCTTGTTTTTCCCTTAATACAATAATATCCTGGAATTTTGTAAGATCCCTACATTTCCCATTTTTGCACCCATTCTTTAGTCCACTGTCCCAGTTGGGTCAGATTAAGTCAAGATAATTTCAACCCCCTTCCAATACTAATCTTATTTGCTCTTTATTCTTCATCTTCTCCATCCAATCTTTTAGTCTACTAACTTTTTTCTTTAATATTTTCCCTAAACTTTCCTTTAAATTACACTGAGATTTCTGTAATTCTGTGATTGGATATAAGGAGAGGTTGAGGGAATAAATATTTTCCTAAACATATTCCAAATTTTCAACATATTTCTAAGTATTGGGTTTTCTAACTTTCTGTAATAGTCATATTTCCTTAAATAGCATATTTTCAAAGTTGCCTGACACTTCTTGAAATTCAATCTTTGCCCATTTAATTTATCAGCTTATGTTATAATATCCATCATATTTCTCATTTGAGAAAGCATCATAATATGCTTTATATCAGTCCCAGTTCCCCTGTTTTCTATGGTCTGTACCATCTTTTTAAATTAACCTTCCATTTTGCCTATATTCACAATGACAGTTGTGTGTGCTCTGTTAAATGTTGACTTCATCAACAGGGAAGAAAACAACCTCAGTTCCTCCAATAAGAAAGAAAAGTGACTTGAGCTGCTCGGATATAAGCCTACTCTGAGGCCACACTTACAGGAAACTGGCAGGTTTACTTGCAGCAGTATCAGATGTTCATGTGGGACAATGTGGCTGCACTCATGGATCTCCTGCCTGGTGACATGAAACAAGGAGCAGCATTATTCATCAAAGAGGCTGCAAACATATCTCAGCAAACGATGAATGCTGCAGAGCAGGGGATTGCTCTGCAGAGGCTTTAACAAGATCAGTCACCTTATGGTGGTGCACCTGACTCTGATCTACCCGTCCATCCCAAGTTGATACAGATAAGGTAGTTGATGTGCTGCTTGATGGCCAGGATCTTTTTTCATCTCAAACTGATAAGAAATTGTAATCAGGCCACAGATGAATTACAAATGAGAGTCCTTCCATCCGTTGCCTCAACAACCAGATGTGCAAGTTAAAGACTTCCAGTGATCTTCCAAAGTTAAAGAACTGCCACAGAAGAAGCATCTGTATTGGAATTAGGAGCCAGCAAGGCCCAAATCAGCACTGATTTCCTTGCACTTGCCCACAATGGATTTATTGCAGACAGAAGATTGGATACCAAGAGCTGAACTTCCATTCTTCACATTTCAGCCTTTTCAGACTGGAAGATGCGCTAATCTGTTGCAACACTTGACAAAGGGCCTTAAAGACTAAGGCATTTCATTCAGCGCAGGCTCTCGTAGCCTCCACCACAGTGGGCTTCGCTTCAGATGCTGTCCTCTGTGGACTTCATCTGAGGAAGTGAGCGGCAGTGTATGAAAGTCTATGCCGGAAACAACTACAGGTGGGTCAATTTTTGGTCTTTTCCAGATACCCTGATGAAGTATTTTTTTAAAAAATATGGAAGTTTGCCACTTCTGTGGGCTTTTCTTCAGTCCTTATAAAAATATTGCCCAGCCGTTTATTTTTGTCTCTTCCTTGTGAACTATGAAGCCAACGTTTTAATACAGAATGGCTATTTCTTAAGGATTGGAGACTTGAGTTGTGGGACTTGCTGTCAAGTCGGACTTGAGTCGCGTCAGTGATTCAACTTGGTGTTGTTTTTTTTCAATGACTCGGACTTGATTTGCAACTCAGAACCCACCCATTCCCTTTTTTCCTGGTGGGGGGGACTTGTTTTTAATTCGGACTCAGGCTTGGGGCTTGGGACTTGGAACTTGGTACCCAAGATTCAGCCTTGGGATTTGGACCCAAAGGCTTGCCAACATCCCTGCTCGTATTTCTGTAGTAAAACCTGTCTTTTTAGTTTCATTTGCCTCAGTGGGGAGGGATAGCTCTGCATCATAAAAAAAACAACAGAATGGGATTTCAGATCAGCCACCTTTCCTGGATTGTGCCCTTTGTGTTTAAATTGCTAATTGCCTTTGGTTTTGTCATTCTCCCTATGGATGAACTTTTGTATCTCCCCCGGATGTACAAAGGGCCCACAAGAAGGCTTTCTCCAAAGCAGCAGTTACTTCCTTGGTATGGGAAGCTGACATCATGGCAGTAGAAATCTATACAACAAATGTGTGTGTGTGTGCATTGAAAAATCAACAGTCATATTGATCTAATAGGATCCACAGCAACGAGGAAGCAGGACTGTTTGGCCTTGGTATGTGACTTTGCTGCTGTCACAGCAAATTAGCAGCAACAATGCAAAGATTTTCCATCTCTAAGCCTCCTCCCCATAACCAATGTGATCATTCAAAAAAAGAAACAACGTGAAAAAGAGGGAAAAATGACAATGCACAGATCCACAAAATCAAATGTACCTCTTTCAATTACTATTGATACATAGTAGATGCTCTCTGGAAGAAGACATGGAATAAAAGCTGAACTCTTAAGCTTTCTCTTAAAGAGCACCAACTTCACAATGCATTCCAGAATGAATTACCTTGGGGATAAGACAAGAACAGATTTACTAGTCACACCGTAATATCAACCAAAGAACCTCACAGCCCTCAGTAACTGAATACTGTTTGGTGCAGGTAGAACACAGAAAATGAAAGTAAACAAGAAACCCATAGGTTCAATACTAGCACCCAAATAATACAGAGAAATGTAAAACTGTAAAGCTGTGATACAATAGACCTACATGTGAGGGAGAGCGATGAGGATTCCAAGGCATTCTTTGAAGTAATCTTTTGAAATGTTCTTCCAGGAAAATGTTCCCTTTTCTTAAGAAGAAGCAAAAACAGAGTGGTTTGGGGCAGGCAAATGAGATAGAGTGGGAGTGGATAAATGGGATAATCTACAGGCAGTGTAGCTTGTTGAAAGAACCACAAAAGATGGAGGGGGCAAACAGAAGCTGACATCAAGAAATATTTCTAACATGTTCTCATGTCTCAGGGCCATGAGTAGACCAAACCATCCACAAATAGAATCTGCTTCATTTGCATTGCTTTTAAAATCACAGCAGCAATAACATTTTGCAAACAGCAGCTTGGAAGGCCATTTTAATCAAGTAAACAGCAAAACCGCTATTACTCTTTGCCCATCAGTGCCACAATACTGATCCCTATCCACCAACAAACACTTCTTGAAAATCTAGCCAATATAAATGCACATATCTCCAAGTCACAAATGATATGACCTCAAGAGCCATATGATGGAACAGTTAAGTTTCAGAAGACACTAGTGGGCTCGTGGTGTAATTATGCATTTTTAATTATGCATTTTGCTTCTCTTTCATGTTTTCTGGGTGCATTTTCACAAAAACATAGGAAGATGCCGTATTCGAAGACCACTGCTCAATCTAACAGGATAGCCTGTAAAAAAAATAATAACACATACAACTGTGGATTTGAATTGGGAATTAAGACCTCAACAAGAAAATTTACTGGGACTTCCAGAAGTCTAAATTCAAGTCTCTCTGTAGCAGTTGGTGCTACTCGTTGATTCTGGGAATAGCCATCACTACTATTACTTAATAATGGCAACCATTGGGTTGTGCGTGCGTGTGAGTGTGATTTTGGATCAGGGCTATAGGTAAACACTGTTCAAACCCCAAGGCTCACAACGCCCATACAAATTAGCTACTTTTAGATACAGGAGAATAGATCCTTCATATTTACCTTGATACTTCAGTATATGGAACCAGCAAGGCAAAAGAGAACACTTGGTGATACAAAAAGCTGACTAGGGACACAAAGAAAATATGAAACTGAATTTAGTTTAATAATATTGGTTGCTTGTTTGTATCTGGTTGCTCATATTCACTCTTTTTGTATTGTATTGAATGTATATGGGGATAAGTAGTGATGATGGCGATATCTGCTTTACTCGTCCTTCTTTTTTCATCTTCACTCTGAATGTTTGTCAGTTATCTGCTTCCTTTCCTTTCCACCTGTGCGATGCTCTGATGAGCCATCATCACGTAGGGGAGAACCTCCCCCAAATAATGTCCCTTCATCGCCTTTAAAAATGTGGACAGTGTTTCTCTGTTGCACAAGACATTTACAAACATGTGGAGTTGTCCGTGGAAATTTGGTGGCCCCGCCAAGCTCTCTATCTGGCCTCACACTTGACTGGCCTTGTGTTCAACAATGCTATACAAATAGTGCCAGTTCTCATACCTTTTGAGTGATAAAAGGGCAAAAAGGGGGGAAAGAAAGCAGGATTGAATAAGTAGCTTTTTTTTAAAAAAAAGTCCTGCATGATTCTTGTCTAGTCTCTAGCAGCAAATATTGAAATGTATGAGATGTATGAATTCTTTGGGTTGTCTGCAGCAGTACAGATGGAGGGAAGGATTGAGAACTGGAAAGGAGAAAGGGATGGCAGCTGTAAGCTGTTGTGCTAATACAACAATGAAAAACTGACAGGGAATGTTTGGGCAAGTGGCCATCCAGGGAAGAGTGATCACAGGTGGAATAAAAAAAAGTCTCAGGAACAGGCCTTATCCTTAAAGGCCGGAAGAAATGAGGAAGTAATTGGTTAGCCTTCTGCATTAGAGCACCTTTCGAAGAAACCAAGTGCCTACCAATGCAGTTGCACAGCTGCTCGGCACAACAGTGAGCAGGAAGGAAGGATAAGGAAGAAATGAGGAAGTAATTGGCTAGCCTTCTGCATTAGAGCACCTTTCAAAGAAACCAAGTCCCTACCAATGCAGTCGCACAGCTGCTCGGCACAACAGTGAGCAGGGTTTAGGATCAGGATGGCTATCTCCGGGCCAGATAAATTTGGTGGCAGAAGCAGGAAGACTCTCACCTGCTTAGAGTCAGCTGTGCCTTTTCTAAAGACATTGAACCTCTGCCAGTCTCCTGTGGCAGTGCAGGGCCAAGCCGGGAAGGGAGAAGCAATGTGTTCCAAAGATGAGTCGAGCTGTTTGTATGTTTTGTGCATCTCTGGCCTTGGAGAGAATGGAATATGCTACACGCCCCTGCCGTCACGACACAGCCTTCTGCTAAAAGCCACCCGCTCTTGTTCGATTGATGAAGGGACCGATCAATTGTTTCCCTTTACTGAACAATTTGTGTTGTGTATGTATGCTTGTCCAAGCAGCTGCCAGCTATCAAGAGGCAGCTTAGTCTGTGTTTACAGTCAAGAAACTAAAGCAAACGGCAGGCAAGGCCCAAGTGGCGTGGCATTTACTGTCAATAAAGCAAGAGAGAGAAAGGAGAGATAAGGAACAGAAGCTGTGGACTGCAGCCCCACATGTGTAAAAATAGCCACACCGTTGCAGAGAGAAAGGGGTGGGTAAAAATTGAATATTTTTACAGCTGATCCGAGAGAAAACTTGGTTAAGCAAGCAGTGCGCATGGTAATCAGAACATTCTGAACTTCTCAGCATAGTTGAGAAAATGCTCTGATATGTATATATGTGCTTATGCATATATATATATATGAACTGAGAAACCATTGAGGGGAAAGTTCAGAATGATTTTATGTTAAGCAGAAGTGAGAGTTACGATGCAGAACCAAAAGAAGTATTGCACCCCTTCTTCTCATTTGCAGGGGAAACAAAGATATTTGAGGTATCTGACAAGAACAATAGGGGGTGAAAATCTGGGAGTTGCCGTCCCAGCACCAGCTTCGGAAGGCCTTTCCTTGGAGATATACAGAAGACAAGTCATTAGGATGAAGCCACTCGCAGAAGAAGCGGTAGAACAATACATCGAGAATAAGGTAAGGATGCTTACGCTAATCTTCCCTGTTTTCTAAAGATTCAGAATCCAGAATGGCATTTGATTTCCAGACTCTTGAAATCTCCAAATGATGGTCTCTCTAGCAAAAGATATGTCACTTACCTGTGGGATAAAACTGGGAACTTCCAACACTTTTCCATATTGGGCTTAGTTGTGAAAGGGTTTTAAGTAACCTACCGTGTGTTTGAACTTTTGGGAAAGGCCAACAAAGTCCAACGCAAACAATGAAGAGTTGCATAGCACTTTTAAGGGTGACCAGTTGTTTCTGGCATAGACTCCCGTAGACTGCAGCTCACTTCCTCAGATGGAGTCCACAGTAGACTCGACTGCATGCGAAACGAAGCGCACTGTGGTGGAGGCTACAAGAGCCTGTGCTGAATAAAATGCCTTAGTCTTTAAGGCCCTTTGTCAAGTGTTGTTGCAACAGATTAGTGCAGCTTCCAGTCTGAAAAGGCTGAAATGTGAAGAATGGAAGTTCAGCTCTTGGTATCCAATCTTCTGTCTGCGATAAATCCATTGTGAGCAAATGCAAAGAAATCAGTGCTGATTTTGAGCTGGCTGGCTCCTAATTCCAATACAGACGCTTCTTCTGTGGCAGTTCTTTAACTTTGCATTCATGCAGTTATAATAATGATTTTTCAGCACCTCTGCCTTCAGGAAATTCTTTGTACTTCGGTTTGCCTCTAAGTGAACCCTAAATCCTGTCAGAAATTGGTTGTGAACTTCATATATGGTTCATCTTACCAACCATTATGTCAAAGAACTAGGGCTCACCATATTAGCCCACCTTTTCTAAAAAGAGCATTTATATATTGACAGGCGTTCTGTTATATTTATCCTTGTAAACCTTTTAGCGTTGTTGGGGTAAACACAAATGAACAAAAATAATTCTGTTGGCTGAAATTCTTTTGCGCAGTTCTGCATGCACAGTGGAGATGATGTCACCATCACTGGCAAATTGCCTCAGATTAAAGGCAGTTTTGGGATGCATGCAACTCATAAATAACGTGACAAAGTCACACGCACCCTGAAATCCCTAAAAGAAGCCTGTAATCCACTGCAACGTGCTATTGATAATGGACATTACATGTGTGGAGCTCCATGAACAGGATTTCAGCCATTGTGTTTATGCCATTAAGTCATATATCACTTATGGCAGTTTGAACCCAGGTCTCCTGAGGCCGAGTCCATCACTTTATTTGCTATACCATATTAGATGTCATTAGTAAATTGAAAACAGTATTGGCACTGTGGAATATAAATCATAGTGCTATGGAAACAGTAACATTATCATGCCAAAAGGTCAGAGAGGAATAATCTGCATTGGATAAGGTTGGTGGTACACAGCATGTCACACTTGCAGGAGGACACAGAGACTGAGGGAATGTGAATTAAGAATTGTAATGAAAACCTGGCATGCCACTGAGACTATTTTTGTATTCTGCTCATATCACTGATTCAGAATCCTTATTCCAGAAGATTTGTGTGCATTTTGTACAGTGTATGCTCAGTTCACATGGGGTGTTGTTGATCCTCAGTATTCAGCTCTGTTTCATGAGAGTGTAATTCCTGGGAAATGCCCAGAGGGACGGGTGTCCTGTGCATCATGAGGCCCTTTTTTTTTGAGACATCAGGAAATCCGTGGCTGAATTTCCTGTGGTTTTTAAAAGGTGATAGAGGCTCAGGTTGGGATTGAAACTGCAGTCATCCTAGGTCCCAGTCCTCTGAGAAAGATAGTTTCTAAACTAAATAAATAATAAATATGCCACACAAAAGCGATAACATGCACATAATATTATTTTCTCCTGTGGGACAAATAGCTTTCAATGGCCGGCTGTTGTAAAAATGTGGAGAAACAGGGTTGTTCTCCCATCCTTAATCATTGCAAATCCATTCCAAATTTTAACCCTAACCCTCCACCATCATCCCAACTGTATTTCCTTTTTTCAGAAAGAAAAAAAAGGAGATTTGGGGAAATCACCTCTAGTTTGCCTCCGATTTTCTCACTCCCAATTCAAATGGTTTCAAACACTGAGGGCCTGTGTGGTACAGTGTTTAGAATGCTGGACTCTGACTCACCAACGTCGGCTTCAGGATTCCCACCCAGGTGTGAAACTCAATGGGTGGCCTTGGGCCAGCCACATTCTCTCAGCCTCAGTTACCTCAGAGGTCTGTTGTAAGGTTAAGATGAGAGAGCCACACATGCCCCCCCTTGGGCCTTCTGGAGGAAAGGAGGGATATCTATGCAACAAATGAAAAATAATTAATATTATTTGAAAGGCACTGAATTATGCTTCTAATAATGGAAAGCTTCTAAGTTAGCACAGAGTGCCATGCAGTTTTTAGAAGCCAGGGGAAAAAATGAATTTGTCACTATAGCACCTTAGTGCCAAAGTGCCTTTGAGGACCTACTTCATCAAAGGCATGAAATGCTCTCTTTAGAGTGTAAATATATCAAACTCAAGCATATAAATACAACTTAGATTGCTCCATATAGTTTTAGCAAATCTTCTGACAGCACAAGAGAGAGTTGTAGTCCTATCACCAATCAATGCAGTACACAAATGTATACAGAATCCATTCAGATGATGGAAAGAAAGATCAGCGCGCCCGTGACCTAGTCTTGACTAGTGACATTTGGTAATGAGCAGGCATAGCCAGATCAATCGCGTAGAGAGCAAGCAGATGACAATTATGTAAAGGCTTGTCGTTTCCGTGGTGTGTTGAAACCAGAGCTTGGAACTTTTCTTTACATTTGTAACAAATTTACATTTTGAAGTAATAAGCTGAAGCATAACTATTTCTTTTATATATTTAATGGCCTTGGCTGTAATTCACTACTTTTCTGTGGAATAACGATGACGTATTTGCCCATCACTGAGTACTGTACTGGATAGAGGAAAGAGGGCAGATCATTGATGCTACCGCCTCTCTTTGTGGGTGGAATGTGAGGAAATGTGAGCATAATGTTATCTCCTTCTTTGCCATCTCCTGAACTCCAAAACAAACCACAAAAGGACAAGCCACAGTTATTTGGCACTAAATGTTCAGGCTAAAAGAGTGATACAGTGAGTTCCTTCATGCACACTGGTAGTAATCAGTCTCATCCCCAGTCAATTCAATGGGTTTTATTTCTGTTTGTAGAGTGGACTACACCCTAAAGACTATCTGGACATAAGATCGTGAACGCTTTTTCCTTAAACCAGTGTCGATGTCAAACCATTTTTATCACTTCATGCCTTAGTATGCTTTAATTTTGTGCACACTGGTTGCCGTTTTAAGGCACAGTAAGGCTTCAGCTGGGCAAAAGAGCCCTTCCTTTTCTGCAGAGCATGCTTGTCTATCTTGTCCATCGAGTGGCTGGATGAGGAAAAAGCTGTTGGGGAGCACAGTTGTAAGGTTAAAACAGTGGTGGTAGCAGGGGCTGTCTGAGAGCTGGGGAGGCTCCCTCTGCCATAAGCCCTAAACGGTTTGGGACCTCAATATTTGGCAGAT